GCTAGAGGCCCTCTGTACGAATAGGAGGCCCCTGAACAATTAGAAGGCTCCCTTAACAAAAAGGAGGCCCTTCAAAAAAGGAGGCCCAAGTGGGAGACCCCTGGACAAATAAGAGGCCCCTGCACAATTATGAGACCCCTGGTCGAATAGAAGACCCCTGGATAACTAGGAGGCCCCTGGACAAATAGGAGGCCCCTGAACACGTAGGAGGCCCCCTGGATAAAGAGGAGGCCCCCTGGAAAATAGAAGCCCCCTGGATAAATAGGGGACCTTCTGGACAAACAGGAGGCCTCCTGGACAAATATGAGGCCCCCTAGACGAATAGGAGGCCACTTGGACAAATAGGAGGCGCCATTAACCTATAGGAGGCCCCCTAGACAAACAGGAAGCCCTCTGTAACAGTAGGAGGCTCTCTGTACGTACAAATAGGAGGCCGGCGCTCGACCTGTAGAAGCTTAGCTGTATGTACAAAAAGGAGGCTCTCTGTGCAAGTAGTCGAAGTAGGAGGCTCTCTGTACTGTATGATGTACCTACAAATAAGAGGCCCCCTGGGCAACTTAGAGGCTAGGTACACAAATCGGAGGTCACCTATAAAAAAGCGGGACTCTGTTGGAATACCCGTTTGAATAAATTGTTTTCCTGATATTCAAATTATTTAATCCTCGCCCGCACATGGGGGGGGGGGGGGCAGTGGTTGCCACCCTCCCCCCAGGGTTTTTTCTGCTCTGCACTCAACATTTTGATTGCTAGAAGCCGGATGTTTCGTATAGCTATAGCTGCTTCTCTATCCTTTCTTAGCGTCCATTGAAAATTCCAAGTTTCTGTGGTTTTGGTTTCGGAGATATGACCTTATTCTTCAGGTGATGTCATAACCCAAGTGACAAATACCCAATATCTTGCGTTGGCTATGGGTCTTATGAGCTTTTGACACCTTGATTTTGGCCTTTTTTGCCAGTCTTACCTCCCACCTATCATGGAACATGTTGTTCGATGATGTAGAGACGCTAGAGTCAGGGTCAAGGTCAGCCTAGGTCATCTAAAAATTTTGCGTTTTAGGCGAGCTGAATTTACTTTCGTGAAATTTCTTTGACTGTATATTTGGTAAAAGCTTCTCAGTTCATGATCTCATACTATAGGGACACATTCATAATCGGTGCACACACCAGTATACACACAGACACACACAGACATACAAACACATATAATTGACCTTGACCTTACTTGACCTGAAATGACCACAGCCAGCAAAAACCTAGTCGGATAGTGTGACAAAGAGGTTCTAGCTGGCTTGGCACCACAATACGGCAGCGTCATCGGTATATGATGAGCAGCGCACGTGATATTCCAACGGGCAACGGTGACCCCAAACAGTAACGTTCTTTAGTTTGACCTGACCTGGAAGGTCAATGACTGCCTGATGAGGTATGATATGTGTTTGTATGTCTGTGTATGTACTGATGTACCCTGACCCTGACATCTGTACATCGCAGACGGCAGAACAGCATGTTCAATGATAGGTGGGAGGTAAGATTGGCAAAAAAAAAAAAAACGACATCAAAGTGTCAAAAGCTCACAAGGCCCATAGCCAACGCAAGATATTGGGTATCTTAGAACAAGAACAAGATCATATCTCCAAACCCAAAAGCCACAGAAACTTGAAATTTTCAATGGAGGCTGAGAAAAGATAGAAAAGCAGCTATCCAAAAGTCAGATTTCTAGCTTAAAAAATGTTCAGTGTAGAGCAGAAAAACTAAATTGGGGGTGGCAACGCTCCCCCCAGGTGCGGGCGAGGGTTAACCCTCACACTTTCTGGGGTCGGTTAGATTCCTTGCGCAATGCTGTGCCGTTAAATTCTTTTTTATAATAAAGGCTTTTTGTGTTATTGTCGAAAGTGAAAAAGCCAGAAATTTTCGTCGATTTCGGTCGACGCGGGGGATATTTACATACAATGTCATCCTGCTGGCCTGGATCCATGAGTAAGGTCAGGCGGCGACCTACCATTTCTTTATTAATATTTAAAAAAAGTCATGGCGTCCGGGCTGTGACGAAAAATAAGTGGCCTAAATCCAATGAGAAAACTGGATTTGGGGGTACCTACCCTAGGTTTGGCTTCTGAGCCTCTGGTCCCCCAGTGAAAATTTCTTAGAGGAGGCCCTGGCGTGGTTCGTAAATTACCGCTTCCGCAATTGGAGGCCCCTAATTGCTTGGAGGCCCCCACTAAATGGAGGCCCCCTTGGACGTTTGGGACCCCAATGGTAATGTCAAAGTTTCACCCATGGGGTTAACCCGCGCCCGGCTGGGGGTCCTGGATTTCCACGCCCTGCTGGGGGGGGGGGGGTGTTTGAACACCCCCCCCCTTCTAACTCGGCTCCTGGGCCACGTAGCGATACGCGGAAGGCGGCGTTCGAAAGAGCGTCAAAAATAATGACGAAATCACTTCGGTCAATTTTTTGGTCAGGTCAAAGGTCAGGTCACCAGAGGTCATTGAAGGCAAAATTTCGCCGATTTCCAGGTCGAATGTCGAAAATTTCCAAGAAGCCAACGCATAACTCGGGAACCAATAGAGCTACAGCGCCGCGGAAAAACGCATTCGATAGCCCTATTAACGCCCTTCCTGAGTAATTCTCTCAGATTTGACCTAACGTCAACGGTTTTGCCTGCAGGGGGCAAAAACTGCAAAAATAGCCGATTTTTTCGGAAATAGTTTTCTGCAATAACTTTTGACCCAAGCCTTGTACGAGCTTACTTTTACCGGCATCGTGTTCCTCTCGTCAAGACGCATCGAATGAACTGTAACTTGACCTTGAAAGGTCAACTTGAAAATTTGACCTCAGGTCAAGGTCATGACCTGACCAGAAAGGGTCATGTTGCATATCAGTCGATCCGTATCGTCGAGCTGAACACATCTAAGGTGTTTTCATCGCTCTAGCATGCCTCTATCAAAAGTTATTTGCGAAAAACTGTTAGATACCATTCGTGACCTAAGATGACCTCAGGGCATAAACAGGGGTCACGGACACCATTTTCATGTTCAGTGTGTCTAAACCACTTGTAATTCAGTGTTTGGGAGTGTTTATAATGTCTTTCGTTCGAAAGAGACGCATTTCAATTTTCTCCCATTGACTTATAATGGGGAGGTCGCAAAATTGACCTGACCTTAGGTCATCGATATCAAAATTCTGAGATATACATTTTGTACATGCTATTGCTCTTAGCAATCGCTGAAAGTTTCAAAGCGATCGGTCATTCGGTGTAGCTATGACAGACATTGAAACTTTTTATGAGGTGAGGTCACTTCAAGTGACCTGGTGACCTGACCTTGAATACCCTCGGTCTGAAATTTTCACAACATGTGTAGAATTGATGCATGATAAGGTGTACCAAAAACGGCGGCGCTCCGCGCCGCCGTTTTTGAGATATTTGCGAAAAACCACAAGGGGGGGTGTTCAAACACCCCCCCCAGCAGGGCGCGGGTTAAGTTGTTTCCGCTAGTTTACAGGCTTGACACAGAGTCTGTCGCAACGTTCTGAGTACGACACAGCAAGTCTCGAGTAAGACACAGCCTCTCTTCAACAAAAACTTACCACAATTATAAATACCGAGTGTGAACAGCAAAACACGGATAGTCTCTATATGTAAATCACAGTAAGTCCCAGCAAATCACAGGAAGTCTTCAGTAAAACACAGAGTTTCCTCAGTCGAAACACAGATCCTCTTCCGCAGAGGTGCACTGTGCAAGCAATCCTAAAAAAACGCGTTCTAAATAACACACGGTCCTCATGCACACAAATACTGCGACAACCTCAATACACAGCGTCAACAAAAACACCACTTCTCAACACAGCACAACGTCCTCAATAAAATAAAAGAAATCCTCAGAAAGACACAAACTCACTGTCAAGTCCCAACACACACCGTACTGCGACACTGCTCTCAGCGCGTCGAATCCTGCCTGGCTATCGCTCACTAGCGCAATGACGCACACTTATCAGTGATGACTGGCGTTTGATCACCGATAGCAGGGCGACGGCGTGGCAAGAGGCGATATCAGGCTAGAGTACCGCGATAACGCTAGTCAGCGGGTTCGATCCTGCACGCCGCGTAGGCGACCGAGAAGCTTCCGTTGTGCGGGATTCTTTTAGCTCGTTGACCTTAAAAGGTCATTTGGAAAATTTGAACTCAGGTCAAGATCATGACCTGACCGGAAAGGGTGATGTTGCATATCACTCGATACGTATCGTCGAGGTGCATATATCTGGCATTTTTTCATCGCTCTAGCACGTCTCTATCAAAAGTTATAACCAAAAAACCGCTGGTGACCGTCCATGACCTGAGATGACCTCAGGGGCACACAGAGGGGTCAAAGGTGCATTTTTCCGATTCAGTTTGTCATGTTTACCTGTGAACCGATGTTTGAGAGGGTTTTGAACACCATTCGTCCAAAAGAGGTGCATTTCAATTTTCCTTTCCCTTGACTTATGGGGAGGTCAGAAAATTGACCTGACCTTAGGTCACCGATATCAAAATTCGGAGATAAAAATGTTGTACATACTTTTACTCATATCAATCGCTGAAAGGTTCAAGGCGATCGCTCAGTCGGTGTAGCTATTACGGAGATTGAAACTCTTTCTGAGTTGAGGTCACATGGCGTGACCTGGTGACCTGACCTTAAGAGCCCTGGGTCTGAAATTTTCACAGCATGTGCGGAAAAAATGCATGAACAGATATGCTAAAAACGCCGGCGCTCCGCGCAACCGTTTATGAGATATCTGCGAAAAACCGCAGGGATAAGTCAAACACCCCCAGCCCGGGGTGGGTTATTGTAATGTATAATGTTCAAAAGGATAATCATTCTAAAGCTTTCCAGTTCGATGATCATCATTTTGAAAAAGTCCTGTTTTAGATAATCCTTCTATCTGCTTCCCACGAACCATACATTCTATTCTCGCATGCCTAACTTAGTGTTTGGAAGTTCAGCTTAAAGGACAAAAACAATCAAATGACATGCATTGCAGCCTTTATTACGCATCTTTTACAGCATACCTAATCCAAACCAAACAAAATTTCAGACCGATAGCGTAGTTTACGATGTCCGCTTTACTTTCATTGGCTGCGAATTGTAAGCATCTCAGCAACAGTCAAGAAAATCGATAACAAAGTAAATAACAATATCACCTCCTAATTTATCTCGCAAAATAACATATCGTACACACATGCCGGCTCCCCACAAGTTAACCAAGTTGCTAAACCTGGTAAACAAAACAAATTCTTGACAATTTTTGAACAAATAATCGCATGGTACAAGTAATCAGTTGCTTCTAATTAGGCATTATCCAGTGAGCAATGTCATTTGTGTAGGCAACTGTAAAGGAAGTCATATCTTACTGCAAGCAACAACCATGCACGCGCTTTTTCACATTCAACCGGTCAGCATACATCATACGCCAAGCTGAATTCAAACATAAAAGTCACACATGCCCACATTTTTACAAACGGTAAACGGTGTGAGGAGCATGGAACCTTCGCCGGTGTTCCTATAATAGCTATGAACAACTCATTCCAGTATCGTTGAGTTGGCAAACTTCTGATAGTTGACAGATGACACAAAGCTATAGCTACGTATCGGCAAAACCCTGGTCCATGTTTTTTACCTATGACAATAGATGGCGCTGTAAAAGGCAATAGATGGCGCTGTTGAGGCACTCAAACACCTCAGTGAAGCTAGAACTACCCTAGAACAGCCGCCTCGTCCGTGTTATACTTTTTATGCACACATCTCTCGTGCGTTGAACACTGCCCGGCAGCTTAATTCAGCAACGATCAGCGTCTTTTGTTTTATGGTGTCGCTTAAAAATATTGCTAGGCTTTTCTGCAACCCATCTCCACTCACATAAATTTCTTGGTTATTTACGTCGCTGATCGCATTAGTAGAAAATGCCTTGGCTTATTTCCTTACCAATCACACCGATAGACTTCCAGGCACGCCTATAGGCTAACGGTCGCTCTCATCCACAGCGATTCTACAGTTAAGTTTGTTGCATGCTGAGTGACAGATACAGGCACCAAGGCGACTGCATTTCACTGTTGGCGATTTTTCGGCTATGTTTGCTGCACAGTGCATCTGCAAGCACCTGCCAACGAAGCGTATGTCTCTGGTAAAATCACAACTTTTGGGTTCTACCACGTCGCATGTTGAATCTTTAGGCACCTGCACCGGGGCTAGCGCACGTAACGCGTGCTACCCTCACTCTTCTAGTCGATGCGACCGATTGCGCTCACAAATACTCCTCGGCGATATTTTCTGTGATCGGACCTCCTTCCGACAACCTCCGAAGAAGCGATCTCGGACCACGACGTCCGCTTCCCAGAGGCCTTGTGTCTCCCTCCTCCTCCTCTAGAAGATCCTCCAGAGCTCGTTGAGGAAGGTGACGCCACCCAGGTGGAAGAGTACGCCGAACACCCATCTTCTTCTGCGCAAGAAGAGGCGACTCGCTGGCATCATCTGGAACGACATCAGGTGACGGTGAAGCTTCACCGTCGTGGATTGCGTCAGAGTCGACGATAGGGAGAGAAGAGAGCCCTGGGGAGCGTCGTAGCCCTCCTCCTCCAACGCTTGAACCTCCACCCACACCTCCAACGCTGGGAGACGTGAGCAGCGAGCCATTCGTCCTCACCGCAGGACGACGAGTCACAGCGAGAGACGGATCTGACGTCGTCTCGGGCTCTCTCCGCGCCGGTCGAGTGGCGGGCCTGGGAGGTAACGCAGGGCGTGATATCTGTGGACAGGACCTCGCACGTTGCGACTGAAGGTACTGGACGCTTGTCGAAAACACCGCCTCCGCGTCTTGAAGAGGAGCTTGATCTGCGCCCCCTGGCCTTCGAGGGAGAGTCAGAGGAACGGGGACTGAGGTTTGACGGCGAGGTGGGTCCGGAGGTGCGCAGCGTAGTGGCAGCCGTGGTTCCGGTTGCGGTGTTGGTTCCCGGTCCCGCTCTGGGTCCGGTTCGGTTTCTGGTTCCGGGATGCTGTCGAGAAGGGATTCCCGGGAAGAACTGGTGGAGCGACGCTTTGCGATCTGTGGGATGGAAACGGGGAAAGATGGGTGTTAGTCTTTGCTGCTATAGTTCCTGACGCAAGCCTATAACTCGGAGCTATATCACAAATAGCATACTTATATTTGTAACTCAATTGCTGGTCTATAACGAACTGACATAGGTTAGCGTGTCACAGGAGACTCAACCAATAAACTAAGGCAAGATACACGAAAAGTGACTTGACAAGTAGTGGCAATCTGTAAGTCTTGTCTGACTTGTCACAAGAGCTGTTCACTGACATAAGAGCTGACTTGTCACAAGTTAGATCTGGACTCAAACCTAACTCTGTGGCCGCCCTGGATTGACTCCGCCGCTCTTTCAGTTATGACGCTAATCTAACCTTACATCTCGATCAGTGGCACTGCTACAGTTATCTAACCTGACTCTGCTCACTGCTGTAGCATCCCTGATCTGACTCTTTCATTGACTCTAACCTGATTCGGCTGGTCAACCAGCAGTGACTCCAGACTCCTCTGCCTCAGATGTTCACCAGAGCGAGGTCGAGTCATCTCTCCCGAGCGGGGGCGAGTCATACTCAGGTCACGTGACCTGGGCCGGCGACAGGGCAGAAATTGACCGTTTTCCGTGTCCCGTTCCATAGACTCACAAGGACAGACGAGGCCTGCGGGAAAATGGACAAAATCGTCACATGAATAGAGACCATTCTTCATTCATTCATTCATTCGTTAGCTGTCTACCCTTCATTCATTCATTCATGCATTCATTCGTTAGCTGTCTGCCTTTCATTCATTCATTCATTCATTCATTCATTCATTCATTCATTCATTCATTCATTCATTCATTCATGCATTGGTTCGTCCATTCATTACCAGTTCGTCGACATGTCACATTTCTTCCCCTCAGTTTTTCCTCATCCCACTATCCATACACGATACATGCTCCATGCCCATTTTCATCCTACTGCTAACTGTATGACCAAGTGTCATACGTGTATGACCAATGGGCCACGGATGTTCCATCACATCCCTTGTCTCACTAACCATTCATTGCGATGTAGACCCTGCTGTTACCGCTCCCCGGGAGGCTCTGCAGTGCTCCGAGAGCCATTCCGATGTTGAAGTCTGCGTCACTGTCTTTGAAAGCCTCAGGCGTGAAAGCGCCGGTGAATACTACAAGGCTGTGAATGGTGGGTAGAAAAGTGTTAGTATAGACAAGCAAGAATGTCTTGTGACCAGCCTATATAACACCAAACTGTCAAAATAAACGCGTGAACTGTCAATGGGTCTGCTCCAGTCGCACTTCGTAACACCTCTAAACTCCTCCAAGAGCAAGATAGAGGAGGTTGGAGCGGGACCCTCCTTGGCTTTGTAGGGGCTAGAGCTGCCACCGGAACAGTGAAGCAATCTTGGAGGAGTTTAGAGATGTTAGGAAGTGCGACTGGAACAGACCCAATGTGTAACATCAGACTGTCAAAATACGCCAGTGGATTGTCATATGGGTTGGAAGAGTGTCGGTAGAAAATAAACAAGTCGACTGTCAACCAAAGACGGATCCAGAAAGGTGGTCTCGGATGTTCGGGGCGCGGCCATACATAACAAAGTATCTCTAGTAGCGAACTTTTCTTTAAAAAAAAATTACTCTTGAGAAAATGGTAAGCTTGCATCGATTTCGGGCGTAACGGGGTAAGAGGGGATGGGGGGTTGCAGGGATGCCCCAGGATCCGTCAGTGTTATAAAAAGTACAGCATATTGCTCATGCAGAACACATTCTGCCGAGAAACAACACGGCACTGTCAAGCGATATCATCAGAATCATTAGTTATTGTCTGTTATTGTTGTAGTTATTATCATTAGTCTGTTATCTGTAGTTATTGTCTGCCTGCCTTCTTCCCTGCCTTCTCACTGTCTGCCTGACCAGCCGACACTTCTTACTCAGACAATACTCACTCTCTCACTAACTAACTTACCGGCTGTTGGTCCCCAGACAGGGTTGTAGCTGCTCCTGTAGCCACTGAGCGGTTTGTAGCATCGTATCCGTGCCGTGGGTGATGAGAATGCGATGTTGTGAGGCAGCCATTACCCTCGTAAGCAGCTTGTTCCTGGAGACGTCAGTTAGATCACGTCATTCGTCATATCAATGGATTGGGTAAATATGACATCACTGGGGCGATGTGGGTGGGTGGTGATATCATCTTTTAGGTCAATGCTTAGTCATCAACCTGAATACACAAGAATGGCTTGTTCCTGGTGGTATCAGATATATCACGTCACGGTATTCATCATAACAAAAGGTAGGGTAAAAATTACATCACTTCGGCTATGAGGTGCCTATTATCTGCCTATTAAATACTGATGCCTGTTATATCTTTTAGGCGATCATTTGGTCATCAATCTAAGGACTCGAGGGTGGCTTTTAACTGACATCAGTTGGGTCACGTCATTCATCACGACAATGAGCAGAAAAGTATGGGATGTCCGGTTAGCAGGTTCCTAGTTGACCATGGTATAATGAGATATATTTTCAGCAAAAGAGCACGCCTCCCAATTGCTGACATAGAGACAATTGACAATTGCATCAGAAAATCAAATTCGTTTGTGTGTGTGCATGTGTTTTTAGGGGCTAAAACAGACTCTTTTCGCAGTCAGGAAATCGCATGCGAGAACCCATTCAAATACATTAAATCAGCTCGCATCAATCGCATGCGCACATCCCGCATATGCTTCATAAGGGCATAATTTTTATTTGAATAAGCTCTCGCATGGGATTTCCTGACTGCGGAAAAGAGTCTGTTTCACCCAAGTGCGTCACTGACCTATCTTTCTCCGTCATCTCCAGACTGTCCTTCTTTGCGACCGTGTCATGCACGACCAGGGCGCTCCTTCCCGGCCGGAGACGTGCCAGGACGCGTTTCGATGCCGCCGAGTCGATCTCAAATGCGTACCCGCTTCTGGTGCGAGGGTAGCACTTGTCGATAGTGCCTGTTGGGAAGAGAGGGGAGTGATGTCAGTAGAGGCAAACGTGATAAATGACGTCATGAGGGATTTGTGGAGTAAAATGTACAGAAACAATGTTTGTTCGTTCTACAACCAATAAAAGTGCCGTAGGACCTTTCGCAAAAAGGAATTAATTTCCATCACCTATCACTTACGTCCGTTGCTATTCAAGCCACCACCAATATGTTATAAGAGATACCATCACCATACTTTCAACATTACTTTCATCCATCATGATATAACTTCCTCCCAAGTTCGAAATTCTTCCTATCCTCTTCCTCCCTTGATCACCAATCTACACTATATCATCACTAACGCCCGCCTTTTTTGCGAATCATTTTTTTGCACGCTCACTTTCTCACAACGTGCCTTGATGTGAGTGTGACCTGCTTTCCGCAGACGTGGCGAAAGTACAGTGCCAAATCCGGTCCGGCTGCGCGGAACAAGTGTGATCCCGGTAGAGTTTCACATTCCGATGAAAAACTAGTTTTGACTTGATTTCAACGCGTTTGTTACACCGACGAAGTGGAGGGATTGGGTGTATAAGTTGTATGCGAGTGCTTGGTGCTTTAGGTAGTTGGAAGGGCTAGGGAGGGCCCTTGTACAGTTGGAAGGGCTAGAAGTACCATGAGACATGTGAGAGCTTATAGGCATTTCTAGCGGAGACACGATAGCTAGGTGACAATAAAACTAGGCGCTAGGAAATGTACACGCAAAACCTTAAAGGGTTCCCCTAAAAAGTTCAGGTCTCTGTCGTTTCAGGTCAGGTCACCAGGTCACAAAAAAAAACTGGCACAATGTCAGGGTAAAATTCGACTATATTAGCGGGAACGGACGGAATCGCTAAGTTTATCGTTCATAGCTCGATAACAGTGAAACGAAGGGCCACCAAATTTCAGCCAGAACATGGCGCAGCCATAAGACACGTTTCCTAGGAGTTTTGTGTTCCAGTGACCTCAGGTGAGGTCACAAGGTCACAAAAATCGGCACATGGTCAAAATGGCAATGAAAATACGCTATATTTTGTCAATGAAATATAGAGTTGCTCATCGATTTGATTCAAACTGGCAGGATATGCTAAGTTCACCGAGTTGCCCTAGTGAAAAAATCCTACAGGATTTGTACCAAAATCCTGTACGTCCCTACAGGGTCGTGCAGGGTTGCTGGAGTAGCCGTACAGGATTTCATGCAGGCAACTATGGCTGTACATGGAATCCTACAGGGTGCCCTGCACGACATCCAACAGGGGACCCTGTACTGAATCCTACAAGGAGCCCTGTACGGTATCTGATAGGGAGCCCTATAGGGAATCCTACAGGGCCCTGTAGGGAATCCTTCAGGGAGCCCTGTATGCAATGATACAGGGAGCCCTGTGCGCAGTCATACAGGGAGCCCTGTGCGCAGTCATACAGGGAGCCCTGTACCCAGCCATACAGGGAGACCTGTACGCAGTCATACAGGGTCTTATAAGATTTTACCAGAATCTTAACACTATCTTACATGATCTTATAAGATTTTAAAGACAGTCTTGCAAGGCCTAGCAGAGCTTGTACAAGATTGGCCAACATCATACAGAGCTTATAAGAATCTGTCATAGGCAGATTCTCGCGAGAATGCTGATTCTGGTAAGATTGAAGAATCTTACAAGAATGTGCTGATCCCATGGAAGGCTACTCCCGCTAATCGTTTTTCGCATAAATCATAATTAAAGAGCTCTCAAGCAAATGCGATCATTTGCTCCACACGGACTACGTGGAGAACAGTTGTAAACGATGCACCTGTCAAGTAAAGTATGAGGACTGAGGAGTACCTACCTAGGGAGAAATGACTCGCCCCGGTGCGTTGATATGTTGGACAATGGACATTTTTCTCAATCTGCAACCTACCGGGATTTATTCATCTCCTCAGGACGGTACTGCTCATTATTAGAACTGGCGGGGACATAAACATTCGAATGTTGTTGTCAACATTGTCCCGATATATAGGGAATTACGAATTGTGAATTGATCCCTATAAAAGAATCGATTCACTTCATAACTCCCTAATCCTTTCATAACATTATCATCTTAATTTGACGCGTTGCTGTACTGTATTATTCTGGGACTAAAGTGTGCATTTGTGCGCTGTGGTGATCTTTCAGAGACTGTACCGACTGGAATTTAGCGACCACTGTCCGTTTTAGAGACCGTACGGTCGGCGGCGGGCGTCCCGATCCTCGCCTGGGGCGGAGAGGGGAGCGCGCGTCCCCCTCCGCCGCATTCCGTCCGTCCCATTCACTGCCCGCTCGCGATGTGCGGAGAGCCGACGGAAGTGTCGAGTGTGTGCCGTGCGGTGTCACCTGCCGTCTCCTCTTCCGACCTGAAGGTAAGTTTCTGCCATTCTGTATTGCTGGGTAACAATAAAAAATTGTTCTCAATATTTGCAGCATTACAGACAAAAAAACGGTGCCGAAACGCTCACTCAAAAAATAGCTGATCGAAAAAAAATAGCTGAAAAAATAGACATTTAAATGTCTACTATCAGATACCAGAGCGCATTAGTAGCGGCGACGCTACTACATACTCAATAGTAGCACACAACATTAATTCAATATTGAAAATTGGTTGAATCCAGGTTGATTGTCAACATTGAAGATCAACCGTTTTTCGACATCGATCCAGCATTTATTTCACGTTGAATTTGCGTTGTATTTGGTTGATAGGAGATTGATATGCAATATTGTGATACAACATCAAAACAATGTTGTATGCCGATCACTTTGTATCGCGCTGTATGTATCACTTTTATGCCGATTAGTTACTTTCGACGGCAGGGGTCCCTTCAATCAATATACCTATTATCATTGTAACATGTGAATATCCACCTTGTTACAGGAACGCAGGATGCGAGGATCGTCGGGCGACACCACCACTCGAGATTCGTAGATCGATGGACGGAGCGGCAGCCGCGACGCGACGAAGTGTGTCGTAATGTGACGGGATGTGACCCGGAAATGGGTGTGTATTTATCCCAGAAATACATTTATTCCGAATATTGACTTTGTCGGTAACGCGGGAACTCGTGGGTCTTTTTAGCATTCCTGGTCAACCGGCTCAAGATGCCCGAGTCGGAGGTGCCCGAGTCGGAGGTGTGCTGAGCCGCTGTTTTCAACAGCGGCTCAGCACAATAACAAGATGCGGAATACTTATAGAATGGCGAGTGTGGTGCCCTGTACGAGATCCTTTACGATACCCTGTACGACACCGTGCACGGTACCCTGTACGACACCGTGCACGGTACCCTGTACGACACCGTGCACGGTATCCTGTACGACACCGTGCACGGTACCCTGTACGAAACCATGCACGGTATCCTGTACGACACCGTGCACGGCACCCTGTACGACACCGTGCACGGCACCGTGTACGGCACCCTGTACGACACCGTGTACGATACCGTGTACGGTACCCTGTACGACACCGTGCACGGTACCATGCACGACACCGTGCACGGTACCCTGTACGGCACCCTGTAGGAACCCTGGTAACAATTTCGTCAAAAATCCTGTAGGGTCAACCATACAGGGCTACCCTGTAAGATTTTTTCACTAGGGTGTATAACCTACATCCAGATTTTTAAGTTTTCGTGACCTGAGGTCATCTAGAGGTCACGACAAATTTTAGGAAAATTTGTCTAAATAGCTCCAATTGTAAAAATATGCTCCATTTCAACGTTTTTGTGTTGTTTTAGCTCCTATAAAGATGAATTCGGTGATTGCTTTCTGAAAAAAACACCTAGGTCAGGTCATCTTAGGTCAAATTAGGTAAAACTATTTTTGCCAATAACTTCGCACACAATGAGGCTAGAGCTTCAAAAATGGTGTAATTGTGTTCCTTGTGATCGGCCCAATCGAATGATTTTTGATATAATGCAATCTGGTCAACTTGAACTAAATTAATTAACAGAGCTGGGCATTGCGCAACTTAAGTCCGCAACTCCGCAACTCCGCAACTTGCGGACTACCCTCTTGGTAGCGGAGTTACGGATCGGCTACCGAGCCCAAAAAAGTTGCGGAGTTGCGAGTTGCGGAAGCGAAAAATTCTAAAGCGCAACCGCTACCGGGGCCGCCACCGCTGGTGGGGGCGCCACTGTACTCTTTGCACTCCACTGCACACTGCACGTGTTTCCAGGCTAGTTTTTGAAGCTGATTTCGAATTTAATGACCGTTTGAACATTTACGAAGTAGTTTTAGTGCCTTAGTAACATGTTACGAGGCTTTCAGTGGTGGTTGACACTGGATAGGCGGTAGGACGCCTACTGGTTGACCTGACCTGACCTGACCCAACCAGGCCCAAATGCATGAAGACGTCATCTTTGACCAAAACCAACATGAAATTTGTTATCAGCCCCCCCTCCCCCCAAAAAAGCATAAAAGCTTCACTTTACGAAGTTCTAGCAGGTCCGATTTTCCCGACTTTTGGGTCATTGACCTGGCCTGGAAGGTCAACCAACTTCATGACCTATGACCTTAAAATTGGGTATCATCGGCTTCCTCTCGTCACGGGCAACACGCTCGTTTTTTTCCCGCGAAGCTCTAGCTCGATCAGGGGCCGAACGGCAGGGGGGAGGGGTCCGACCGACGTACACGTTAGACGCTGTAAAACACCGCATGACAGCGAGGGTTAAGTCAAATTTTTGTGGTCGCCAGCACGGGGCCGGGGGCGGGGGGGGGGGGGTGTTTGGACACCCCTCCGTAAGGTTTTCCACAAATATATAAAAAAGGCGGCGGCAGCGCGGCTGTTTTCGACACTGCTATTAACACATCCTTTCCACACATTGTATCAACATGTCAGACCCAGGTCACCTCAGGTCAGGTCACCAGGTCAAGTCAAGGGACCCAATTTCCGAAAAAAAATTTAAACACCCGCCCTAGCAATACAGGGCAATATAGCAATATAGATACACCTATTGACCGATATCACTTTGATACTGTCTGCATGTGACAAGGGTAACAAGATATAGGTACAAAGTGTATTGTCTCATATTTTTTTTATATTTGTGACTTAAGGTAAGGTCAACTGTGTGACCTCTCCATTATAAGTCAATGGGAGAAAATACAGCTCGTCCGGATTTGCGGCAAAATGATCCCAAACAACTAAAACATGCAAAGAGTAGCACTGGCAGGTCATTTACGTCGACTGGTGTCGCAATGACTTGCGCATTGAGCATTATAGGTCACGTGACGTCATCAGAGGTCACCAACAGTCAGGTCACCAACAGAGGTCAACCAAAGGTACTACCTGTCAGACATAACACTGCACTTCAGGACTAAAACTGATAAAACATAGGAACCTAATAGAGGTTGGTAGCGGAGTTGCGGAGTTGCGGAGTTGCGAGTTGCGGTTTTACGATCTGCAAAATAGTTTCGGAGTTGCGATTGCGCTTTGGGTACCTTAGGTTGCGGAAGGTAGCGGTAGCGGTTTCCACATTTCGGTAGCGATGCCCACCTCTGTTAATTAAAGTTCACTTAGAATTTAGCAAATTTTAAGTTCACATAAACTGGATCAAAATATTTCAATCGATGCGCACTGATATGCTGAGTTCAGTGGTGCTTTTCTTATTGCTCTATCTTAACCCTCGCACCGACGGGGGGGCGGATATCCGCCCCCCCTGAGGTTTTTCGCGAATAGCGGAAAAACCGCGGCGCGTAGCGCCGCGAAATTTTGTATGACTATAACCTCATCAATTTTACACGTGGTGTGCAAGTTTGAACTTCCTACCTTTTAAGGTCAGGTCACCAGGTCACTTTGAATGACCCAACCTCAAGTCACTTTTTTGCAACTTCGTCACCGTGCCAGAGCTACAGTAGATGTCGGAGGCCTTTAAAAGTCGCAGGATATTATTAGGTCATTAGTAGCTACAATTTGTATATCTCGGAATTTCGATATCGGTGACCTAAGGTCAGGTCAATTTCGCGAACTCCCCATTATAAGTCAATGGGGGAAAAATCAACTCCCTGTTTTTACCACTAAAACGGGTCGGAATGGCCCCATATACCATACATGACTTCATATACGATCAACCTTCACTACCTTGAGGTCTGTTTTGCTGTTGGGCAGCTGTGAGGTCATGTGACGTCATCAAAGGTCACCAAAGGTTTTTGGCCAATAACTCCGTACAGGAACAAGATACAGACGCGTGGATGGTCTCATTGTGTTCAGCTCGTCAAGACGCATCGAATGATATACATGATGACCTCGAGGTCACGTGACCTGAGGTCAACCTTTGACCTTGACCTTTCGAGGTCAACATATATATCATTCGATGCGGATTGACGAGAGGATCACGATGATGCCCTTAATTTGTTCCTATCTTGACTAATTCGAAAGTTATTCGAGAAAAACTCTCTCCATATCTAGCGCCGCCATTTTGACTTTTTCGACCCCTGTGACGTCATCTTTGACCTGACCTGAAAATGACCTTTGTAAAAATTGTAGATCTTGGCCGTGCGTATCCGATGCCGTTTACCGCTTGTCGCTATCTTGCTTCGTTCTCGAGATCTCAGGGGGGGGGGCGGTCATCCGCCCCCCCCCCCCGTCGGTGCGAAGTTGGCGCAGACCCCCGTCGGTGCGCGGGTTAATTACATCAAAAGTTATATGCGAACAACTTTTGACCTGTTTTAGCGAATTTGTACATTTATAGGCTCCCCAAAAGAACCCCTAAACATTGCCCTAGAGCAACCAAATTTGCACAGATGCGAAATCTCCTATGGGCCCACCTAACCTGCAAATTTGGTGTTTCTAAGTGCCATAGGAGCCAATCACCAGGGGGATGGGGTCGTATCACCCCATCCCTCCTCTGGCCGTCCCCGTAATGAAAAAGGCCCTGGTTTAGCGAGGGTTGACCTTCAATTTATTGATTTTGATTTGTTTATTCAATTGATCTCGTTTCATTTTATTTAGGAATGACACATGAAATACTCGTATGGTGTTTAGAGGAGGAAACGCTATCGTTCAAAATATCATTAAATATCCTTATTATTTTCGATCTATCCTGTATTGATCACGAGACTTCATTTGGAATAATGTTATCGTGTTTTGGTAAAATTCACAATGATTGGATCCCATAGGTCCGGCGGACATAAGACGAAGTATTTCCCACCTTTGCCCCATGCATAGCACATATGCCATGAGCCGTTGTAGCCTCATACATAAATAAAACATGCATGTTTTATGAGCTGGTTGACCACTGACCAGAAAGAGAAAGTATTTCAGATGTTTCCGCAATAAACAATTTAGCGCGCGTCATTGCCAAACGGGTTTCTTTTCCGGTCACCTATTTCCGAGATTTCGAAATAGGGTCAATAATTATATCCTGTTTGCTGTAGTTCAGCTTATCGTTGGTTCATCACATTGCTCATGTTCTTTTACCACTGAGTGTTAGTGAATTTTCTCTTGAATATGCCAAACTATATCTCTTGCCTCCGATATAACCTTTGCTTCGAATGCACCTCTCCTGAGTGTTTCCCATCTCGTCCCTGCATCAGTTTCCTTTCCTCAAATTTCGAGTTGACGTAGCGCTTCGAGGTCTAGTGACCAAAATAATCATAAGTGAACCAAATAATTTAATCTCTTATCATAGGTTAGCACAATATACGTCAGTGTAGAACCTTATTCTACAGCTTTTGTCAGTTGAATTGCATTAACCCTCGCATGTGTGCGGCGTTTGCCAGCTTCTAATGTGTAGGGGGGGGGGGGTCGGTTGGACCCCCCCCCCTTGCCGTTTGGCCCCTGATCGAGCTAGAGCTTTGCGGAAAAAACGAGCGTGTTGCCCGTGACGAGAGGAAGCCGATGATACCCAATTTTAAGGTCCTAGGTCATTGATTGACCTTCCAGGTCAGGTCAATGACCCAAAGTCGGGAAAATCGGGACCTGTTTGAAAGTCGTAAAGTGTGGCTGCTAAGGGGTTTTTCGAGGTGCTGATCACGAATATCGTGTTAGTTTTGATCACAGATGATGTCTTGAAGCATTTAGACCAGGTCGGGTCAGGTCAGGTCAGGTCAACCAGTAGGCGTCGTGACGGGTATTCGTAGTACGTGTCAACCGCCTCTGACAGCTTCGTAACATGTTACGAAGTCACCAAAACTACTTCGTAAATGTTCAAATGGTTGCTAAATTCGAATTCAGCTCCAAAAACTAGCCTAGAAACATGTACAACTCGAAAAAGTGACCCGAGGTCACCCGAGGTCACCAAAGGTCAATGACCTGACCTGACCTTCAGGTGACCTTGACACACACGGCAGTAACATCAAATCACATGTTTGAACGTTTGAAACCACGAAAAGCTTGCAAACACGCGGCTAGTGCGAGCCGACATACGCGAAATCGCGATTCCGGCCAAACATGGTCTCGGAAAAGAGGTCACAGGTCAAAGGTCATTTGGGTCAGGGTCATGAAATTTTCAGGGTAGGTGTAAAATTGATCAATGCGAGGGTACTGAAAGTTTCGTCGCGATCGGCCGCTTTTTACGCGAGTTATTCGCGAAAAACCATGGGGGGGGGTCCATCCGACCCCCCCCTACACATGCGAGGGTTAAATTCCCAGCTAGTTCCACCCTTCCTCATTTCCAGCTCGAAAGATGAACGAAGCGAATGTTTGCTAACATTTTTATTGCATATATTATATTTCAGTTCATATTTAACTACTCACTACATAACAACGTACAAACAAATACATAAATACGTACAAAACATAAATAGCGACTTCAGACGCGGGCAAGAAGTCACTTCAACAACGCATAACACTTAGCCGGCCGGGCTTGACAATCACTACCCTGATCACTTATGGCAATGTTGATGGTCTTACAGGAGTTTTGCGTGCACTGGTTAAGCTCGAGTATTTCTTGAAGGTGTCCTTCAATGAGTTCAATGAGAGCTTATCTAGCATTCGAAAAAGCCTGGTAGACCATGCAACAATATCCGATAATTATCAGTAAGAGCCGTCAAATACCACGTCCACATTGACCAGAAACTCCTCATATGGGTGTAAAACTACACAGTTCCACTCGGTTTAGGTGTAACACCCCAGCACTACACCTCTAGCCGGGTATAACTGCCTTGCTTAGTACGGGTGCTCGGGCGCCACCGGCAGGACGTCTTGGGGTGTGTCCACGTACACCTGATCGGTTACTACCTGAGCTGGAGCTGCAGCCTCATACACCGTATCCGGGTGTACGTCAGTGTTGTGGTGTACCCCCTTCACCACAATCGGAACGATGATGTGATGCGGCCGCTGTACTACCGTGGTCTCCTTGTAGACGACAGGATCAGGGACGTAGTCCTCGCCGACGGCGTATTCGGGCTCGTAGGTTGATCCAATGACGTAATTATCCACGACATTGCTCACGGTGTTGACGACAGCCTGGCCGGCCTTCACTGGAAGCGAGAGCACCGTCCCGGCAGCGGAAGAGATGGCAGAAGCAGTGTCGGAAGCGGTATTGATGATGGAAGTAGCAGCAAGGCCAGGCAGCTTCAGGGCGGTGCTGAAGAAACCTTCCTCTTCTTCTTCTTCCACATCAGAAGTCACCACGGGAGTGGGCACCTGGATGACGTTGACGACGCTGCTGTCCTGAACGCCAGAGTCACCCACGGCCACAACCTGATGTCCTGAGTAATCCTCTCCTCCAAGCGAGATCACCTGATGTCCACCCAGGTCTCCACCAAGAGAGACGACTTGATGACCACCAAGATCTCCACCACCCAGAGCGACAAGTTGCTGGTCACCATATCCTTCTTCTCCCAGAGTAAGCACCTGTTGTTGGCCATAGCCGGTTCCATCAATTGCTACCACTTGGTGACCCCCCAGTCCAGCATCGGCAGCGTTGACGTAGACCGGAGCGATACCGGAAGCTCCAACCAGTCCAGTTGTTCCAGCGAGACCCGCCGTTCCAGCGAGACCTGCCGTTCCAGCCAGTCCGGCGGTTCCAGCTAGTCCAGCCGTTCCAGCTACTCCAGCAGTACCAGCGGTGGCGGCAACCTTCTTAGCGGCAGCACTCTTAGCGAAGAGCTTCGCGGCCAGGAGTTTGAGAAGAAGGAAGCGACCTCGGCGGTTGTTGCCGGGCTCGGAGTCGGCGGCAGAGTCGGAGTCGGAGTCGGAGTCGGAGTCGATGGAAGTCGGCGCAGGAAGAGAGTCATCTTCCTCTTCGATGGGTGCAGTATGGACGGTTACCACAGCCTGCGGAGAAACAAACAGGTCAGCAAAGGTCAAATAATGAAAAAAAACAACTAACCATAAATCATACCCCTGCAATTCTCTATCGAGCCTCCTGGTCTTTCTCAGTTACATGTCTTAGTAGTTTGCAATGCTGCATTTTGACGAGCTTATTGGTATCACTTTTCAATGCAACATTACCTCACATTAAGCATTTGACCCCCACTAGCTCCAGCAAAGCCCCGCTTACTTCATTCCTAGCTCCACTACCCCACTAACTCCTCACCAACCCCTTCACTCCACTCCTTCCCCAAACTCACCGCCAAAGCCACGAGTGCGACGAGCAGATGAAGCCTCATCTTTCCTCAATCCAACTCCACTGGCCGTCCCAACTCTCCTCCGCACCAGCTCCGGTGCTTTCCAACCAACTCAGCTCTCCGACTGACTGCATTCGGCTTTCAACCCAAGATATATCCATCGCTGGCCACATTCAGTTGCGGTTCCGGTCGGACGAGGTTTATCCGGACTGACCGGGTCTCCGACAGGAACGTAAGCGACCTCGATCTCCGGATGTATGCGCCAACTCGCTAGTGAACCGGCTGTGGTTGGGTTCGAAGACAGACCGGACGCAACGCCACGTGATGAGGGATAGACGGATGGAGGGGAGGGGGGGGGGGGGGGTTAGGGGGGTAAGGAAAGTGGTTTGTCTAGTGGGGGGGGGGGGTGAGAGTGGTGTGAGATCCGGTACACCGCGGGGGGGGGGGGTAGAGGGGGGAAGGACGGTCAGTGGTGGAGGAATGTGGTTTGCTAGACGAGAAAGGACGTCTGGTGGTCGAGGCTTTGCGAAGCTAACGCTTTTCTAATGAGAGGCCTTTCGTCGTAAAAAGAAGGCAAAATCAATGAGCCTAACTCTGCTCATTCTAAAGAGATGAACTAGATGAACTAGATGATTTTAAAAGCATGTTTATAACACCATTGGATATTTCAAAGCATTGTAATAGTGCATCAATATATGCGATTAACCCGCGCCGGGCAGGGGGTGTTTGAACACCCCCCTGCGGTTTTTCGCAGATATCTCAAAAACGGCGGCGCGGAGCGCCGCCGTTTTTGGCCCACCTGTTCGTGCATCTTTTCCGCACATGTTGTGAAAATTTCAGACCCAGGTCACCTTAGGTCAGGTCACCAGGTCACGCCAAGTGACCTCACCTCAGAAAAAATAAGAATGCTCGTCATAGCTACACCGATTGATCGATTGCCTTGAAACTTTCAGCGATTGATTAGAACAACATTGTCTATAAAATGTTAATCTCGGAATTTTGATATCGGTGACCTAAGGTCAGGTCAATTTTGCGACCTCTCCATTATAAGTCAATGGGAGAAAATTGAAAAGCGTCTGTTTTGCACAAACGCTATTCTAGACATTCTCAAACATCGAGATGTAGGTAAAATGGACACACTGACCCGCAAAATGGCAACTGTGACCCCTCGTTATGTCCCCGAGGTCATCTCAGGTCACGAACAGAATCTAACAGTTTTTCGCTAATAACTTCTGATATAGACGTGCTAGAGCGTTGAAAACGCCTTAGCTGTGTTCGGCTTGACGTTGCGGATCGACTGATATGCAACATGACCTTTTCCGGTCAGGTCATGACCTTGACCTGAGGTCAAATTTTCAATTTGACCTTTCAAGGTCAAATTATAGTTCATTCGACGCGTCTCGACGAGAGGAACACGATGGTGGCAAAAGTAATGTCATGGCTTTTTTGAGTCAAAAGTTATTGCCGAAAAAAAAACGTTTTTCGGAAAAAACGGCTATTTTTGGAGTTTTTGCCCTCTGGAGGCTAAACCGTTGACCTGAGGTCAAATCTGAGGATATTATTCAGAAAGGTCTGTAAAAGGGCTATCGAATGCGCTTTTCCGCGGCGCTGTAGCTCTATCGGTTCCCGAGATAGCCGTTGGCAGTTTCCAAAATGTTGAAATAGTGAACATTTGACCTTTGGTGACCTCTGGTGACCTGACCTTTGACCTGACCCAAAAAATGACCGAAGTGTTTTCGTCCTTATTTTGGACGTTCTTTCGATTGCCGCTTTTCGCGTGTCGCTACGTGGCCCAGGAGCCGAGTTAGAAGGGGGGGGGGGGTGTTCAGACACCCCCCGGCCCGGCGCGGAATCTCAGAGCACCGTCCCGGCGCGGGTTAACTGGGCTTGTTTTGTAAATATATGTGTAGCAAGAATCATAGCTATGAATATTGAATGCTACTGATCAACATAACTCGGCTTTACTATTGGACAGTTTCGTGGTCTTTATTGCCACTGCTTCAGGGAATTGCATTGTCAAATTTGTCCATTTCCAATTTCCAATATCGCATATTGCAATACAAAGGCTTAGCTTATATGAAGTGTCATGCAAGGATTACGCCGAAGTACCAACACATGCGACCACGCAAGCATCCGGTTGGAATGGTCACAGATACATACTAATCTCCCGTGCATTGTAAACCGCAAACATCCCAACTGAACTCCTGGGGACAAATTCCTGAAGGATTAGAAACGCTTGGTTAGGTCATGCGATTACGCAAAACGTAAGTGAAAAATGACACTCGCATGCCATTATTTCACAACGTTAATAATTTGACACATGGGAAGGGTAAGACGAGTACTAAGCTCATACAAGTTAAGAAAGTTACGATATGCCTATTTTCTGTAAGATACGGGATTTGTTTGCCATGCAACTAGTGTGTCCATTCCTATTATGTTGTTTAGCCATTTTGTGGTGTATTGACATTTAACACTGAGTCAATTTTGTGCTACCAAATCAATACGTCAGCGCTTATAGGGCGATAGTCTATTCATGGGCACGGTGCCACTAATAGGTACCTACTTTATCCCTCGCCGGCACAGGCCATTTTGCGTCCTTCGACGGCACAAGGGGGGGGGGGGTTGGTTGGTTGGTACGACCCCCCCTCGCGTTTGGCTCCTAATCAAGCTAGAGCTTCGCGAAAAAAAACGGGCGTGTTGCCCGTCACGAGAGGAAGCCGATGATACCCAATTTTAAGGTCCTAGGTCATCGGGTGACCTTCCAGGTCAGGTCAGGTCAATGACCCGAAAACCGGGAAAATCGGGACCTGTTAGAAAATCTTAAGTGTGGCTGCTATGTGGTTTTCCGGGGTGCTGATCACGAATATCGTGCTAGTTTTGATCAGAGATGATGTCTTTAACCCGCGAGTTGCTGGGGGGGGGGCGTTAAACGCCCCCACTTTTTTACGCCGGGCCGTAGCATAAAAACGGCGCGCCGCAGGCGCGCCAAATTTTAAGTACCTGTAGGGAATTGATTGAAGTTTATTGTGACAGAGTTTCAAAAAAATCGGTCGGAAAATTTTTGAGATATCGAGGTTTTAGTGACGTCATGATTTCTGAGTTTTCGACCAAAAACGGCATATGTTCAAAAAATCATATAAAATCACAGAATAGACATATAAACATGCCGTAAACGCCATTAGACTCCCAATACCATGAATAATCAAATGGCTATCTTCGATTATTGATTTTCGTTCCGCATTTTCCAAAATCTTGAACTGAATCTTGGCAATTTCTCGTGACTACTTCACGACCATGACACATGAATTTCTTAAATTGAACTTTTTTAGCCAAACACGTACACATATGATAAAATGAATGTCACCATCGTGTTCTACGCCCCAAATAACCCATAAAAAATGTGTCACAGGCTGCGAATATCAGTTTTTATTTTCGGGGATATGTGCCTGCCCGGTTGACCTGACCTTGACCCTGACCTATGCTTGACTGACCCCTGCATGGAGCAGACACTCTTGTAGGCCTTATATGATGGATTATGCACCGTTTTGACAGAGTTTATGACGAGAGGCGCCCATTGCGAAGTCCTGAAGTCCATGCTACTGAAAGCCCGATTTCAGGTGTTTGACCTGACCTTGACCTGACCTGTGACCTCAAAATTCAAATTTAAAGTACTCATCTGAAGCGTCTTGTCGCGTTCTTTCGTTTGCCGCCTCGTGCGTTTCGCTGCGCCTATTGGTTCTCGAGTTATCGGCTGGGGGCGTTTAACGCCCCCCCCCCCAGCAAACGGTGGGTGGCGAAATACCCCAGCAACTGCCGGGTTAAGCATTTAGACCAGGTCGGGTCAGGTCAGGTCAGGTCAACCGGTAGGGGTTGTGACGGGTATTCGTAATACGTGTCAACCGCCTCTGACAGCTTCGTAACATGTTACGAAGGCACCAAAACTACTTCATAAATGTTCAAATAGTTGCTAAATTCGAATTCAGCTCCAAAAACCAGCCTAGAAACATGTAAAACTCGAAAAAGTGAACCGAGGTCACCCGAGGTCACCAAAGGTCAATGACCTGACCTGACCTTCAGGTGACCTTGACACCCACCCTAATGTATGGGAGCAACATCAAATCACATGTTTGAACGTTTGAAACCACGAAAAGCTTGCAAACGCGCGGCAATGCGAGCCGACGCCCGACATACGCCGAATCACGATTCCGGCCAAACATGGTCTCGGAAAAGAGGCCACAGGTCAAAGGTCATTTGGGTCAGGGTCATGAAATTGGCAGGGTAGGTGTAAAATTGATCAATGCGAGGGTACTGAAAGTTTTGTCGCGATCGGCCGCTTTTTACGCGAGTTATTTGCGAAACACCTTAGGGGGGGGGGGGGGGGGTTGCATCAACCTGTGCCCCCTGTGCCGGCGAGGGTTAAATGAAATGCCAGCAAAACGTAGCTTAGGTACATCTATGCCACGCAAAAGGCTACAGTTAGGAGCTATATGAAAAGATATAAAAGATGAGACAACAGAAAGCAGTTTGAATTGGAGACAGTTCATTCAAATAAAAAAGTTTGGTTTGTAAAATTACAAGCAACAAACCGATAAATCCTAAACGCTGTGTCAGATGGGTGAATATCTTTTTATATCCGGCAGAAAGTAAACTAAACTAACAGGAACTGCTAGGAACAGACCAGGAAAACGATTATATTGAGATTAACCTAGAACAAGCAAAACAAAGCTGATAGGAGCAGCGTCTGCAACCAATGCGGTTAAACATGATACCACCGGAGAAGCAAGACTTGCGCAGCCAACAAATAATCATGGTGGGGAGATTTTTGACAAAACCACATCTAATGACAAACTGCCTTACCTACACAGACGAAAGACGTGACAAAGGACGCTCATACTTCCCTTATCTCAGTTCTGTTTGCACCCTTTTTCATAAGAAAGACTCAGCATTGTATCATTATTTTCGTATGCCCCTTTGGATCCACCAATGATTTCAGAGTTCAGACCCTCTAGGAGAGGAACATGTCTCAGATGACCCCTGGGACCCGTCAATGAAAGGGCACGTGAGCTCGGAATGCGACTGAACCCCCTCCCCTATCCCCCCCCCCCCGGCAGACACCGCGCGACTGTTCCGAGATTTTGGCTACAACATACC